GGCCCCAGGAGACATACTGCCATCCTGATGTACAGGCTTGGCCAGACTCGGGTTTGATTTTTGGGGCAAGAACACGTCACAGGTAGCACTGTGAATTTCCATCTTGGGTAGGTCCCTCCTCCCCCCCGGCCTCTCTCTGATGCTCAGTACCTAGATCCATTAACTCACGAGGGTCTGCAATGGCAGTACTCTAATTCTAGCCTTGCTTTTTCACTTAGTACCTGCAGAACTTCTATAAAGAGAACTTTGCTGTTGTCAATTATTTGGTTACGTGAAGGTGTAGCTTGTACAGCAAAGTCAAGAAAATAAATGTTCCATTCTTCCTCTTTCTTCGCCAGCTTTTAAAAATAATGAGTTGGTTCCCAAGCATTCTCAAAGATAATCAATGTACTTTTAAAAAGAACATTATGAACAAATACATTTCAACATAACGGATGTGTTTTGAGCCATTACGGTTACTGCTTTAGTGATGGGTACATTGTCCTGGTTTTGCCTTAGCTCTTGACAGAGTCTCTGGTAGCATCCTTGATTCCTGTTGTAAAGAGATGTTCTAGGGTCTGCTCACTCCGCTTAGGAACCCAGCCTTGTTCAAGGAACCTAGCTTCCTTCTGGAGGGAAGTGAAGTTTAAAAACCCTCATTTCTAGCTGGGTGCAGTGGTGCACACCTGTAATCCCAGTAGCACTGGAGTCTGAGGCCGGAGGATTGTGAGTTCAAAGCCAGCCTCAGCAAAAGCAAGGCTCTAAGCAATTCAGTGAGACCTTGTTTCTAAATAAAATACAAAATAGGGCTGGGGATGTGGCTCAGTGGTTGAGTGCCCTTTGAATTCATCCCCAGTAACCCCTCCCCCCAAAGCAACCCTCATTTCAGTACTAGGGATGTTCATAGTTTCTGAAATTTCTCAGGAGACACGGTGAAGACCAGCTTTCTTACACTATGAAAGAACTCAAGGACACATACTGAAACCTCCAAATCAATTCAGGACCACAAACAAGTCTCTTCAGTCTGACAGTGGTAGCTCATTTCTCTCAGATTCCTATTTCACCTGGGGCACATCAACATATGGCAGTTCTGGGAGAATGGGAACTGGAATATCTAGGGAATTGTTGCAGCCAAGACCCTCCCCACCCCCCACCCCCAGTGATGCTTAACAGACATGAAGTTGCAAAAGTAGCACAGAACCGGTTCTAATATGGTCACAAAATGAGTGATATCACCATGTACCAGGGACTCCATCTTGATAAATTCCATGTACTTTTTACAAGACATATTCTTCTGAGGTGGACTGGTTGAGTAAGAACAAAGATTGAGAAATGTCCTTGTCTCCTGTGGACTTGTGGGTGGAGCTTTTTAGGGGGAGGAGGAAGTTGATAAGGAATGTTGAGGACATTTTCAGGAACAGTGACTAAAAAGGGAGGAGATGGGACAGTGATCTGCAGAAGAGTAAGGTTTAAACGAAATAAGAAGTGGGAACTTTCACATGTTCAGAGTCTCAGAGAAGAATGAATCTACAAGGCAGGCAGAAAATGGAGTTTCAGAAGGTAGAGAGCAATTGATAAGCTTCACTGGCCGGCAGGCGGATGGGGTTCTTTTGGAAAGTAGGGAGCTGCTGGGCTAGACAAGAAGCAAGAAGCCTTGAGTTAGTCTGCCAAGGAACCAGGACCAGACCCTGTTTAGCCTCTTCCTACCAGTCGGAGGGACAGTGCCTGATACAAAGACATAAGACACAACAGAAAGACAGTATAAAACTGTCGTTCTCAAAGAGCTGGATCTGGCCCTTCCGGGGGGGTCCTTTATTTCAAACTTATTTTCATGATTACACTGAAATTTGGGCCCTTTTACTCTCATTCCTTCACGAGTGTTGGGTAGAATGTCTCCCAGGCTTCAGGACAGGTGAGGACTCCAAGCCTAGATGCAGAAGCGGCCAGACACAGGAGAGATTTGCCAAAATGTAAAATAATGCCACTCTTTTCAGTTATTCTTTGGAAAATAGTGTCCATTAAAATGTTTGTTGTGTCTCTGTGTAATGGTTTATTATTGTTATTTTATTTGGGTTATTTTGCAGGGGTGGGGGGTGGAGTTACCAGGGATTGAACTCAGGGGCACTCGACCACTGAGCCACATCCCCAGCCCTATTTTGTATTTTATTTAGAGACAGGTCCACTGAGTTGTTCAGCACCTTGCTGTTGCTGAGACTGGCTTTGAACTCTCAATCCTCCTGATTCAGCCTCCCAAGCCGCTGGAATTACAGGCATGCACCTCTGTGCCCCTCTATTATTGTTATTTTAAATGAATTATGACACATTGTTAAAATTTCTGTTTGAATTCCTAGTTTGAATGCCTAGTTTGGATCATGTAAACCAAAGCTCTTTGGGGCCTTTGATAATTTTTAAGAATGTCATGAAGTCCTGACACTGAGTTTGCAAAGAGCTCCTATGAAAGGAACTTGGGGCAAGTGGTAAGAGCCAATGAACACCCACAGAACACCCCAATGCCACCAGATGCCAGCTCCTCTGGCCGACAGCTAGGCATTCCTCCCAGGAGTCCGTGGTTAGCCCCTCAGGATGGAGGGGAGACCCTCCCTACCCAATGCCTTCCACAGACATACTCAAGTCCAAAGTGTTCTCCTTTCAAGGAGGGAGGGCTTCTAACTGTAGACTTGTTTCCCCCAATGGAGCAGGGAGGTCTGCTGCTCCCAGAGGCTGAGAGGAGGAGGACAGGAGGAGGAGGAGTCTGGGGTACTGCCAGGAGGGGAGGGGCAACTGCTCTGTCCTGCACTGTCTGTCCATGAGAATTCTTTCTTGGGAAAGGAAAAGGTTGATGAAGGAAAACCAATGCTCCCTCAAGAAAGGACTGCCAAACACCCCTCGATGCTCACACCTGGAAGGTAGAACTACTATTTCTCAAATCCAGCCAGCACGCTAGTCCCCAACAGGGACCAAGAATTCTGACACCTTCCTAAAAGCCGTCAATTGAGGGGACCCAATAGACTGTGGCTTTGGCTTGTCTTCTCCCCTGACAAGGCAGCTCTGCTCATCCATACTGCCTGTGCTACTCCTTCCCCACATCTTCAAGTGCCTGTCCACCTGCAAACCTCAGTCATCCCCTCCCATCAAGGGCTCAGGAATGTTCACGCTCCATGGACTCTGGAGTTTCAAGTACAAACTCTAATTACACTTGATTTCTCACAGATTTCCCTTATGGTTTTTAACTATTAGAAAGCAAATGTCTTTAATATTGGGCTTATACATCACGTAACCCTTATATCAATGTCCTTAATAAATTCCATGTGCTTTTCACAAGGTTTATAGTCTTCTGAGAGCTCTCTGGATGTCTTTCTGAACCCTCAAGACTGGACACCAGGGAGCATAAATAATCATTTCTTTAAAATTGTACCTCCTTTACAACCTTGAATTTGAAATGTGAATATATGAATATAAAGGTCTGGAATAACTATGCAGATTTATGGGGAATATCAATTTAGGTTATATCACAGGCTCCAACTTGGCTTTTCTTTGTATAGCTGGAGATTTGTTACAGTTGGGCTATAGTTTGGGGAAAATGTGATTTATAGTTAAAGTCATCTAAAAATCAATACAGTTGAAGATTTCTGACATAAAGGTCCTTTGCAGAGCAAGATGTGATGCTAACATTGGGAAGACAGGAACTAATATGGAAGCTAGAGTAGAGTGGCTGGAAGTTGCCCTGGGGCGGGGGGTGGGGGTGGGTGGTGGCTTGGCTTCCACCTCCCCACTGTTTGAAGATGGGCTTGTGTGTTTTTTGAAAACAGCCAACATAATTCAGGTGGAGGAGGCAGAAAGACTTTTCTATTCCTTGTTTCGGTAGAAATCAATGGCTTTAGTTAGTGTAACTGTACCCTCTGCGTTCAGTATCTAAAATAAAATAAGCCTCATGGCTTGTATGATAGCATTTCTGCAGATTTGGCGTCTAGGGCTGAACAAGTTGTTAATTAGGTGATCTGCCAGGCCAGGCGGCAGTAGGGATGGGGTTTCAAAGGCAGGGCGTAGACGCGGCAGCCCTGATTTTGGATTCTGATACCAACTTTCTAAATGAATTGAAGGGACCCCTGGGGGAAGGGGAGAGCAGTCCTTAGTAGGATCTCCTCTGCATGAGGACGAACTTGGGACCCAAAGCCCAGACTCAAAGCCAGTGGCGGGCGCCAGCTCCCCAGCGGGTAGTGCAAGGCGCTCTAGGAGAGGCGAGGCTCCCATAGGCAGCAAACGGCCGCCCAGCCCCCCACCCCAAAGGATTTCAAAGCTCTCGCGTCCTCGCCTGCTTCCCCCAGCGCTCTGCTCTCCCAGCCTCCACTCCAGCACACCCCGCTCACGCGCCGCGAGGAGGAAGGAGGAGTGGGTAGGAACCGGGGCGGGGGAGTCCGCGCTCGGGAAATGCCCCGAGAAGCAGCCGGCGCCGGTGGAGATGCACTTGGAGAGGGGGAGCGCAGGCTCCAACTCGCTGGGAGCCTCGCGGCTCTTTCACAATTCCCTGCTCTCTTCCTTGACCCCCAAGTCACCCCAGCAGCCCCCGCCGCAGAAGGGCAAGGGGACACGGCGGGCTCGCTCGCGCGCGGGACCCCGGGGGTATTTCGGGCCCTCGCTGCCCCTTTAAGGGTTCCTGAAACTTTCCCTCTGATATCAGATGAGCCTCGTCACATCCGTTGGCCGCAGCCTCCCGAGCGCGCTCCGAGGAAATTCAGGACTCGAGTTTCCCGGGGAAGAGGCGCGGCCCGAGACCAGCGAGTGGGCCGGACCGGCGCGGGGGCCCTCGCGCCCCGCTTTGACCTTGGGCACGGGGAGGGGCCCCTGCGGGGCAGCCAGCGCCCGCCAGAGGGGGCAGCGGCGAAGAACTTGCTCAAGTTGGAGGCGCGGGTTGGGGCGGCTCCGGCGCCGCCGCCGCCTGTGAGCCTCCTCCCCGGCTCCTCCGCCCCTCCTGCGCCGCCGCCGCCGGCCCGGTGCGCGGCCAGCCCTGCCCCGCCGCCCCTCAGCCTCGCGTGCCCGCCAAGTTGCTGAGCCGCCCGCGCCGCACCGGCAGGCTCTCCTCCCGGCTCCGCCGCGGCTATGGGCGCGCCGGCCAGGGCGCTGCTGCTGCCGCTGCTGGCCCAGTGGCTCCTTCGCGCGGCCCCCGCGCTGGCCCCCGCGCCCTTCACGCTGCCCCTCCAAGTGGCCTCGGCCACCCGCCACCCGGCTTCGCCCGCCCCAGAGCCCGTGACCTCCGCACTGGCCCGCGCCAATGGCCTGGCGCTCGCCTTGGAACCCGCTGGAGTCAATGCCAACTTCTTGGCCATGGTGGACAATCTGCAGGGGGACTCTGGCCGCGGCTACTACCTGGAGATGCTGATTGGGACTCCCCCCCAGAAGGTAGGTCAGTAGGCTCCCGCCCGCCCTACGGACCCGGCGCCCGCGGTCCCTGTAGTCCTCCTGGCTGCAACCGCGGGCTTTTCAGGGGCTCGGGGCAGAGTGGGGAGGTGCCCAGAGATGTCTTCGTGAGCCTAACGTCGCCCCTAAAGCGGCAGCTGGAGGGGAGAGAAGAGTGGGGAGCTCAAAGGGGCTTGGGGGTCGGGGAGCGGGGGTGCCCGCGCGCTGGCGGGGCGAGGGATGGCTGACCCGTGCCCTAGGCGCCGCTGAGTGCTGTGCCCAGTGCTCAGAACTTGTTAGCCCCGGGCCTCCAGTGTGGCTGGCCCCGCGAGAGACCTGTAATGCGCCTCGGGCGCGATTTCCTCCACGCGAAAGACACCTCCTTCCATCAGGATAGGTAGCAGGGGCCTTGGGCGAGATGCTATGGGTTGGGAGAAATCACCTCGTGTTGCTGTCCCCTGCCCCCCACGCTGTCTCACATGCTGCTTAAAGAGGCTCGTGGCCGGCATCCAAGCTGCAGTACCCTTTAAAGGGATTTGTACATGAGCTCAGCGAAAAGCAGCCAGGTTCCGAAGTGGTTCGCTGTCGCCTGCGGAGCGAGCTGCGTTTCCTCTGGCCCGCTTTTCTCTGTGAGTTGTCTGTTGGCTCCTTGGCTGCCCCTGCGCACGGAGCCGCGTCTCCCCGCGTGTGGCTGGGAGGTGTGAAGTGCAGGCTGAGCGAGGCGGTGACAGAACAAGACTCCAGTCGAACAGCTTTCCCTTTCTCTTCCTTGGATGTTCATTTATTAATATTTTTTGGTAGTAAGGGACATCTTAAGAAAATAAAAAGGAAGAAGCCTACCAGGAGTTGATCTGACCCCTTGTTCCCTTCAGAGCCCCCAGTGCACGGGTGAAGTCGAGTTTTCTCCTCATTGCATACGCTGTAAAGATACTTTATTTTTATTTTTAACATTGTCATTTGGGTTTTAATTCTGCTATGATCGCCCATAAATAGAACATATTCATGACTTTTGTATAATTCTAATTAAATTATTCAAGACTTAAAGAGGAAAGATATGCCATGCTAGTTCTTTTTTTAAAAAAAAAGGAAATAGGACTGAACAACTTCTGTAGTTGTTTAATTAGTTTAACAAAGAAAAATAACCTTCAAAATGCATTATTTTTTCTCAGCTCCTATTCTGGCTGCTTGTTTGGAATGGGGTGAGCCTTCTCTGTGGCTGCAGGAGTGGGAGGTGGCTGGAGGGCAGGGGGGATGGGACCACAGTCAGCTGAGGAGGCTTAGTGGCCCATGAGGACACCACGTGGCGGTGGGAACCTTGTGAATTGCTTCTCACAAGATCCCACGGGACATGGGATAGACTTTTTTGTGTCCTGTGAAATCTCTTGGAACAAGCCCTGAATGATTCCCTGTTTGAGAAACTTATACCTTTTTTGGGGAAAAATAAAAAAAGCTAGTGTTGGCTTTAGAAGGGACTTCTCACTGAGATACAGTGAATGCTGGCAGTTCTAGTAGGCTGAGATAAAGGAAGCTTGGAAGTCCTCTTTCCAGAGCAAAGTGCAAGAGAAAGTCTCGAGAAGAAATAAAAAATACTTCTTGGGCTCTCTGTCTCTCAAAAAAAAAAATTCATAAGTAATAGCTTGCTTTTGTTAATTAATTCGATGACCTTTCTTTCAAAATGATGAAGTTTAATTAATTTAATTAACAGAATGTAACACACTGAGCGCCTGTGCTCATATCTTTACCATAGCCAAAGAGGTGATTGGATCAAGGTTATTTCTCAAACAGTAGCATGTTTTCAGGGCAGGCTGTTTTATAAAGACAGATATAACTTTTAAATTGATGGGGAGTGAAATATCTGGGACCTCTTTCCTGGCTTGATTTAGTGATAAGCTGCTTTATAGCAAAAATCCATGTACATCATTTTCTGCAGGCCTACTGTAAACCCTTAGGTGTTGGTGACATACATCCTGTTCACTCCTGTCCTGCCCTGAGGTGTCCTGACCACCAGCAGGGCATTCGCAGAATGCCACCCCTCATGGGCCACTAAGCCTCCTCAGCTGACTGTGGTCCCATCCTCCCTGCCCTCCAGCCACCTCCCACTCTGTTAATGGTCAAGAGTCATGCATTTATTCTCTGCTGATTCTCTGAAGCCTAAATAAAAATTGCTCAGGTGGAAAGAAAAATAGGATTATAAATTCAAGCAATAAATAACCAGGACTTTCGGGAGTTCATAGACATGGATAGTGTCCGAGGGCCCCGTGCCTGACAGACACTGCGGAATATTCCAAGTGTGTTTTTCCTGGGAATCCTCACAACCTCTTACCCCTGAAGTTCTTATGTGCATCAGGGAGATGAGAAATCTGTAACTTGGAGAGGCTGAGTGACTTGCGAGGGCAACAGGGGAAGAAAGAGAGAGAGAGCTGAAGTAGAACCCAGGGAGCTGGACTCCAGAACCCAGCTTCCCAGCCACCAGCCACATCCTGTTCCTTTCCCCCTCACACCTCCTGACTTCTTGGGTTGTGGTTTTGAACTAGCCTTTCCAGCCAGAGATCCCGCAAGCTCACACCTCAAGGTGTTAGTGACTTCATGTGTAACTGCAGTTGGACTCCCCACCCCCCAGCTGCCCCATCGCCTCCTTCCTTTAGGGCAAAGCTTGAAGAAGAACACAGTGCACAGTTGGATCCAGGAACGAGTGCCCAAGGAACGGAGGGAGGAGTTTGATAGGAGCTGAGCCTTGCAGATCCCTGTCTCCTGTGGGAAAGCCAGCCCTTGGGAGTGTGCTTGTTCCCTGAAGGCTTTAATCAACAACTGGGGGTCCATTGTTCTGCTTGCCACTCTGTGAGGAGTCATAGACATCTGCCCAGAAACCCAAGTGAGAGCGGCACAGCCGTGAGCTGGCCCACGTTGGCATGGAGATAAGAGCCGGGTTGCACACTGATACCATTATGTGACTTCTTTCCAACAGGAGAACCAGCATCTGCTGGAACCATGCAATTTGGTCTTAATAATAATAATGGTGTTCTAAAGTGATTATAATTATAGCAATTTCCATTATTTAAAAAAATCTTTCATGCTAACACAGTAAATCCAGATGAAGATAGGAAAGGTCTGCAGCCATACACTTTATAGAGGCTTCATGGAAGCATTTGGGGCTTCTGTTGAAAGATTTTCTGTTGTCTCCACTAATATGGATGAACAGCCGGGAAATCTGTTTTCATATTTAAGCACTCAAATATAAACAGCCAAGGAATCATTTGGGGGCATGTGTTCGGATATCAGCCTCTTAGTTGATAACTGGGAGACTTTGGATTGAAAGTTTGTTCCAAGCTTATAGAGTTGAAGTTCAGATTTTTCCCAGTAATTCATCCAGGGTCCCCGAATCACAAAGCTGACGGAGGGAAAGGAAGGTGGCAAGAGGGCATTTGGTGGAACAAATATCTAAGGTGGTAAACTCTTAAAGACAAAAAGCAAGATACAAATGTGCAAGATACAGAGGTACAGATGGCAAGAAAGTCACAGCTAGTCTACCATTGGCTCCTTCAGGTGAAGAGCAGCAACCTGCGGGCTTCGGCAGAGGAATTTATCAAAGGCTCAATTACAGAGGATGTGAAAGGCAGGCCCAGGAATCAGCTCAGAGCAATGGGGTGGGGATGGCCAGAGCTGGAGAAACTGTCACTGCAGTCGGAAGAGCTGCCTCCCTTCTTGCCCATCGAGTGTGCAGCACCATGATGGACCTTTTGTTGTTGGTTGGTTGGTTGGTGCTGCAGGGGATGGAGCCCCAGGCACCTGCCAGGGCTCTGGACTCTGCCACCAAGCTGTGCTCAGCCCCTCACACTAAGGGTTTTGCCCAGCTCACCTCAGTGAACTCTCATGACATCCTGCGCGTCCACGCAATTATTTGAATTGCTTTCAGATGGGAAATCTGAGATTCCGAGCCAGGACTGTGTCCTAGGGAGGAAGAGAGCAGGGGTGCTCATCCAAGAACACTGCCTGTTCCAGTCTGCAGCCTGTGCCACTGCGCTGTATGATTTTAGTTACAGTAACCTTTTAAAAGAGTCACCTTCATCTTTCTGGGAATGCCTGGGTGTGGCTATGTCACACCTGTGCCTGTGGGCAAGTGGTGAATCTTCCCAAGCTTCCCGTCCCCACCCAGGCTGCCCTGAGAAACCCCTAGGCTGGAGACTGGACCAGTTGAAGTTTATTCTCTCAGCCAAGGTATCAGCAGGGACATTCTCCTCCCAGGGCCCCAGAAGAGGTCCCTTTCTTTGTTCTCAGTGTCAATGGCTTTCAGGGGTCCTTGGCTCACAGCTGCACTGCTCCAACCTCTGCCTCCATCTTTCTGTGACATTTTCCCCTCTGGTGTCTCTGTGTTCAAATTCCTCTATTTTTTTTAGGGACCTAGCCATCAGACTACCTGACTTTATCTTAGGCATCTGAACGGACCCACTTTGCAGAAGAGCTTCCAGGGACAGTTCTTCAGCACATGCAGTTGCCCCATGGACAACCACAGATGTAATATACTGTGGTGGTCCTATGACCCTGTGCGGTGTGGTGACGTTGTAGCTGTCTTAGTTGGTGTAAGCACACTCCGTGATACTTGCGCAGTAAAAAAACCGTCGAATGATGCATGTCTTAGAACGTCTCCTACTGTTAAGTGGCGTGGGATCTGTGTCATGTTGGAGGACACAATTTAGCCCACAAGTTCATTATAGTTTATCTTTCTGTAGTAGGTTTTATTCTCTCACACTTTTTAATTGCCAGTAACTTCACTCAGTCTTTCAAGTGTAATGTTCATTAGCAGCAGTGAGCAAATGGTGGTTTTGGTGTGGGACTGACGTGGAGCCCACGGCAAGGCGGTGCGCTGGGGGATGGGAGAGGAGGAGAGAGGGTTTCGCAGCTTTTCTTTGTTTCTGTATTGGTTTCCCCATTAGAGAGTAATCGCTTAGAATTTTAATATGTCTCTTATCATGTTGCCACCTCATTCTAGAACCGTTGAAATTAGT